GGGGATAACGCCTTTTTTTTCAGGGGTGATTTTTCAAAAATTTATTTTAAAAAAAGTACTAACTAGCAAATGTTTTTTATTAGCTCGCAATTTTCTTCAAAACTACTTCAATGAGGAAAAAAATAAAAATTTGGAATATCTATACATGAGGGGCTAATTGATCGGATCTAATTAATGGGTATTCTTTCATTATTCGAAAAAAAATTCGATTTTAAAACTTTGCGGAGACATTTAAAAATTTAATTTTTTTAGTTTTTTCCGCCCACTTTTTTCGCATTTTTTAAATTTCTTCTCGCTGAATTATTGATATCCTCTAATATCTGAAAACAAAATAAAATAGACTACAGTCGCTAGGCACGAATGTGTAAGGAACCACTGTGCCCATTGAGTCAGTGTGACCAATGGACACAGTGGAATCCCCTGCATTATCGGCCTGCTGCACGACTGATGTTTTCCATGGTTTCCCTGACAGTCCAATCCCGAATGGGGTGCAGTTGGGGATAAAGTAAGTCGGCCCATGCTAACGCAGATAGGGAAGGGAACAAAATGTAAAAACCCGAGAGGGTATACATATGAAACCAAAAATATATTTTCTCCAATTCTCAATTTCTGACATTTATTCTATTCATTCGATCAAAAGACAGCGAGACAGATTGAATTTATGGGTATTTTTCCATTATTCGGATAAATATATCCATTTTAAGACTTTCCGGAGACATTGAAAAATTAATTGTTTTAGTTTTTACCACCGATTGTTTTTTGCATCTTTCGAATTTCGTCTCGCTGAAATATTGATATCCCTCCACTACTTGAAGAAAAAAAGTGATTCGAAGTTCCCGCCAATATGTAAAAGAAGAAAAAAATCCATTCTCTAGCCGAATATCCCTTTATGATTCTTTTTTCATTCCCTTTTCATAATAATAATTGGAATCCGACCATAGAAATGAGGAGTACCGATATCTTTTTACCGTATGAAGGGAAAAGTAGATGAAAAAAAATTCAGGAATATATGGCGAGATTTTTTTATTATCCGAATGAGTTTTCGAATGACTTTTGTTTTGTTGTGTGTTTGTTTTGATCACAAAAAAAAACACTTTTCATTTATCCTCAACATAATTCTTCTTCATTCAATTTTGTAACTTGCGAATTAAGGAAAAAAATATCAATATAAGAGAAATAACAATGGATATCAAATTAATCTAATTGTGAAAACGGAAATGGAAAGAAAATGAAGTGAAATAAAATAGTAGAGATTAATCTAGCGAAGCGCCCGTTCACTACTGTTGATTATCCTGCAATAAATTATTTATTCAATTATTTCACATATTTTGTTAGGTGTGTAGTGAACAGTATCTGAAGACGAAAAAATCATGTTTTTGAAACAAGTTGCTGGCAAAATCTGAATAAAAAAGAAAAATAGTTATATAATTTCTATAATCCTGGAAAAAATTATCATCAACTTTTATGAGAACGTTGATCAACGGTTGATTCATTTTAAATTAATTTTTTTACAACTAAATGAGTCGAATTTTTGTGATTTTGTTCACAGGTGATTGCTTTATTTGAAGAATTCTTGGCGAAGAAAGGCAAGCTTGCACTTCTGAACGTTCCTAGATGCCTGGGTTATTTTGAGGACGGCGAGAACGATTTTATCGTATTAGAAGATGCCAAGGCTAAAGGATTTGCCGGGATTGACAGGCTGAAGGCCTGGAAGTATGAAGATTGCAAGGTCATTTTCAAAGCTCTGGCTCAATATCATGGAATTTCTCTGGCTGTTCTGCAACAGCATCCACAGGAATTGCTCAACGCCACCAAGCACCTTTCAGAACCATTATTCAGTGACAAATATTGGGATTGGTATGGGAGATACTATGTAAGTACCTTGCACTCTATACCCAATAATCAAATTCATAATAAAGTAATGAAACCCAACAATTAAATTTTCGACTGTTGAGTATGCGATCACTCCGGTATGCGAAAAAATCTTATTTTTTTATCTTTGCAAGAAATTGTTTTGCGAATATATGAAGAATTACAAAGACTAATTGGACGGGTGGTGGCGCTCGTGAGAGGTGGTTCATTGGGGGGTTGCGTCGTCAGTTTTTGGGAAAAATTATGGGTTTTTTTTTGTAAATATTGGAGGAAAAGTGACTGTGGGGGTTCCTCATGAGGCAATCTTCCAAGGGAATAATAAGTTCGGGATGAAATGGTGAAATCTGGGAAGTTTGAAGACTGTTTTCTGGGAGGGCGGGCGACGAGGTTAGGTGACGCCTAACGAACTGGGCGAGAGGAGTGAGAGAGGCAGAGAAACTGGCGGCAAGCACCATGTGTGAATGTGGAAAGGAGGTTATATCGGGAATTTGGGGAAGATCCACGTGGTAGTTGATGGTGAGGCTGCGTCTATTCTGCGGGAGAAACACATTGATGAGGAGGATAAAAAGGAAAGATTTGGGTACTAAGGCAAGGCAAGGATAGGTGTGTGACACCCAAGGAGGGAACGAGACAACATGATTGTGTCGGCTATGTTTGGGAGTGCATCAAGGGACTTTCGGGAAATATGGAGGGAAACTTTGCGGAGGTGCCTCAGTGGATGAATTCTGAAAGGAGTGATATTTTGGGAATGCAGTTGACAAATTGTTGTTGCTAAATTGGCGGGCTATGGGGGCGGGGGCTATGGAGGGAAGAGCCGACAGTTATCCGGAGAAAGTGCAGTGAAATTTGGGGGGATTGTTGCTAAATTGGTGGACTATGGAGGGAAGAGCTGACAAATGCCCAGAGAAATTGGGGGGGGGGCATCTCCTGAAATAGAATTGAAATAGTTATAGGGGTACATGGCAACAGTCTGAACAGGGGAAAAGGGAAACGGCTATGAATGGAACAGAATCAGGGAGGGGACCATAAGGGATGTGGTAGCTGCTAGGGCCCCTTGTGGCCAGGAGATGGCAGCGCTTTGACGAGGTTTGAGTTCCAGCTAGGAACATGGGGATGGCGGCGGGAGGGGAGAAGAAGCTTGGGGCCGCCCTAGGGGTGGTGTGGCCTTGAAGTGGTCTCCTTCAACCAAGGAAAGGATGATGAGAGGGGGTGACGAAACTTGGAGTCGTCCTTTGGAATGGTGCGGCCTAGGAGTAGTCCTCTCGATCTGAGGCCATGGCGTTGGAAAATGGAAAGGGAATGGAAACATGGAGTCGTTCTGGAAACGGTGCGGCCTTGGAGTACTTTCTGACAACCGTACTGATGGCGATGGTGATGGCTTCGCGGGTCTACGGTTCAACCGACTTTTTGCAAGTCCCTGGATCTGGTGCAGGAAAAACGCTGCTGACTGGGGCAACTTACTGGCCCATATGGCATTCATGTATTTTGTTTTTTTTTTTTTATAACTATCAATATTCTATGTCAGGGTTTCATTATAGGGGTGGGAACAAAATGTAAAGGCATTGAGATTGATTTATTGTGTTTATTGCGTCAACCTTCCAAATGTCCAGGAGATTTTTTTTTAGAATGTCATTAATTTTATCCATTCATCTGTAAGAACAAAACATCAAGAATGATGAGAATAAGGAAATAAATTAACACTGCAAATACAGCTGCAGCTATATTTATTCATGTGATTAGATTTACATAAAATTTATTTTCGGCTGATAAGGATTTTTATCATGAATCAAGTGGAACCATGAGTCGATGAATATAGTCCACTCGCTGTCAGTGGTACTGAAAAATATTTAGAAGTTTTGATATGACACTTCACTAATATTATGTCGCTGATTGATTTCGATACGAGTCGAGCCTTGAGGAATTACTATTACATGATCAAATAACCGCAAGCTTCCTCACTATTGACGCGATGATTATTATTCTAGCTATGAATGAAATTACATAACAGCAGCGTGCTACACTGTTAGAAAATTACTCTGGAAATTTCAAGTGAAAAAGCTGGAAATTTTTATCAACGAAAAAGTTATATGAAATTTCTGTATAGGTATTTCTTCACTGACGAATCAGTTTATTTCGTGAATATTCAAATAATTTAACGTATGAAAAAATTCAATAGAAAACTTTGCGAATTCGCTAGAAAATTGTATTGGAATTCTATAGGAATTCTATGGGTTTTCTATAGGATTTCTAGTGGAATTCTACTGAAAAATTCTATTTGTTTTTTGCCCTGATTCTATTGGATATACGGTAAGAAAAAGTATTGACTATTGAGTATTGAGTATTGACAATAGATTTCAAATTTCTGTTTGAATTTTTCTCTTGAAAGTGTTTCTATAAGAATGCTTGGGCATCAATTTCTTAAGTTTTTTCCACTCGGATTCAGCAATGCAAAACAAAACAAAATCCAGCGGAAAAAACTTCTAAAATTTAAGACAAAAAATCAAACAGAAATTTGAAATCTATTGACTTTTTCTTATTGAATATCCAATGGAATTCGCGCAAAAGCAAATACAGTTTTTCAATAGAATTCCAATAGAAATCCTATAGAAACCTCATAGAATTCCTATAGAATTCCAGTAGTATTTTCTAGCGAATTCGCTAGGTTTTCTGTGGAATTTTTTCATGCATGTCTCGATTTTCAGATTCATGCGGCACTGAAAAATATCGAACATTGCGAAAATTCAGGCAAAAACTTTTCTGAATTCTCAATTTATTGAAAATTCGATTACATTTGATGTTTAATTTTCACAATGATTTTGAAAATTCATGCTTTCATTGAAATATTAATGATCGCTTAACATGAAAAACAATTTTCTTGAATTTTCAAGATGAATGAATAATTTGATGAACATTGTCATTTGAACTTAAAGTTCAACTCACAAGATTGAGAATTCAAATGAAGCTGTGACTGAAATTTCTAACAGTATATTATCAACACTCGTGAAATAAGTAATTATGAATTAATAATTGCTACTAGATAATGCTACTGGAGTGAAATAAGAATACGTAATACATCACATTTGGACATTTTTTTATTGTGCAATTATCTTTGGAATCGAAGATCTTAGGGAAAGAAAGGTCAAGAAAATTCTCCTACGCTTAGAAAATTATAAATAACCAACATCGACTTTTTCCGTGCATAAAACTATTCAATACAAAATCCTACCACATTTTCCGGGGAATCCCATTTTAAATTCGATTTCTGTTGGGAATTACTGTTTCCCGCGCGTTTTTTCTCGGAAGGAAAATGGCCGATCGGAAAGAATCAACAGATTTCAATATTTTTACATATGCATTTTGTTATTATGTTCAGTTTTTTTCCTCAAAAACTGAGTCATTTACACAGTATTTTCTTCCTTTTTTTCTTTTCATTAAAAAAATGGGAATATTAGGAAATCATAATAGTACAATTTGTAAAGAAAAATTCGAATCGATTGATGGTTTCAAGTTGTGAGCAGAAAAAATTAATTGAGCAAATCGTGACAACAGGCCTTGCTGCTCTTTTTCCTGTTGAGTTTCTAATCATTTCGATAATAATAATTATGCATATGAAAAACAGATTCCATTTTTCCTTATTCTTATTTTTCAGACATTGAGTATTAATGCCGCTCAAGATGCCATATCCAAAGAATATCCAGAAACTCCGCAGGAGGAAAAATTCCGTACCATGACGTCTCGTAAGCTGTTTAGCAAATGCGTTGAATTAGTAGAACACAGCAATAAATCAGTTTTCGTGGTGAATCATGGAGATTCCTGGGCTACAAATTTCATGACCCGGACGCTCCCCAATGCAGAGCAGGATGCCATCATCTTCGATTTCCAATTGGCTAGATGTGCCAGTCCTGTCCACGATCTTGCCTATTTTGTTTACACCGTAACCGATAAAGAGACAAGAGATCAATATTTCCAAAGCCTCCTTAAGTATTATCACGACGAGATGGGGAAAACTATGGTTCAACTGGGGTCTAATATCGATGAGATCTATCCTTTCGATTTGTTCATGAAAGAGGTGAGGAGAATGAAAAGAAATGTTTTAATGTACACGTATCTCGAGAATGACCGATTTTAAGACAAAAGATGAGGCTAAAGTTGTGTATAAAATTTTGTGAGACGTCAGACGACCTTCACATGACAAGTGCAATCATGACGATTTTTGTCACATGACCAAACTAGGGTGAACTGTCCAGTGTTCGAACGAATAAGAGTCGTCAAACACCAATGATCGAACGACCAAGATTCAATAATATGGGCAATTTTCACCAGGTCTCATTGAATTCATGAACATTATTCATTATTCATATTGGTTAAAAAGGACAAGTCCCATTTCACAGCATTGAGCATTTATTCTACGATAAATATATAAATTAGTTCAATCACTGGACGAGTTTGAACACTGGTGCGTTCACCCTATGAGTGTTACTGTACGACCTTGATATTTCAACTAAATAGATCTTGTACAAAATTTGTGTTATATGATCAAATTATCGATTGACCATCATTATTCATTTGAATAATTGCAATTATTCAAATAGAATGATGGTCAAAATTTCAGAATCACTATTCAATTTAATGACACTTATTCTGACATAAACTGTATGTGATTGCCATATTTCTTCTAAACAGCAGTAATATTGTCAAATTATGACAAAAGAGATATGACGTCACATGACTGCCGTATATTCGTCACGTGATAAAAAAATGACAGCCATATTCACAACTGTAGGGAAAACTTTTGTTGTAAACAAAAAATGAAATTTCTGTAAACCTCGTTTTACGCACTTATTCCGCTGTACAAGAAGGCTCTTGAGAGTAATTTCCGTACCTCTCATAGATGTAAGAGATATTTCTCCAACACATAAGTTCAATTATTGTCCTTTACTCCCTCATAACTCATATGTAGCTTGGCCAATTCTGTATGTTTCCTTCGTTAAAAAAATATGCAATTACATATGTCATATATTTTCTCACGTTGGGGAACGTATGGCCGTGATAATTGCAGCATTAAAGTGGTACAATCATTCCGATCAAACGTAACGGCTTTTCTAATTATTCGGATACTCTAAGAATGAGTCATTTGAGGAAATGTCAGGAGACTTCTTTTTTGCTGAGAAAATTGTTTGCGTAAAGTCTCACAGTGATTTGTCATAATGTCATTCATTACTGAGATGACTCAACGATTAACTAGATATCGCCTCATGGCTTTCCCAGAAATATCAAAACGGAGAGATGGAGAATAAATTGAGGGATTCGAATTTTTTAGGTAAAGGAACAATTCGTTTTCGGCTTTGCTTTCGGTCTGGAGACCCTGCCGATGTCAATGCTCTCTGCGGAAGAATCATTCGATCTGGACGAAGCCAAAGAAGGTGAAACATTGAATATCGCCGATGTCTGGGCGCTGAAACCCACCGAGAACAAAGTGAATCGCCGCCGTCTTGCCGACGTTGTTAAACACGCAATTGATCAAGGATTTTTATGAAGGATAGGAGTGCCTATGTAATGCCATTATTTTATGTAAAGGATATGTCTTAGCCAATTGTACTGTAGATGGACTCTCATTGTTATGTTGTTATGCACTATGATTTAACCTTTGATAAGATGTAGCTCGAAGATTAAAATATATTCGTATTGTAATCGTTAATATGTTATCTTATTTATTTATGGGGGCAATAACTGAGTAACATTTTACGTAGAGTGAATTCGATTTTCGATTCGAGATTCGTAGAGAAGTTCCTTGGAAATGTTTAATTGAAACGGATGAATGAATTATGGTAATGCACGGAGAGAAAAACGGCAGAGTTCTCAAGCAAGTTTTACCTGCACCAAGAAAATAGTTTTTTAAAAGTTATCAAAAAAGGATGATTTGTGCGAAACCTGCAAAGAGTGCACCGAAAAGAAGAATTTTTGACCCAAAAATAGATTTAGTTTAAAAAAAAATTGCATTCTCTGTACACGCAAGAAATGTCATTTCTAGCACTACTTCTTTGTTATTCGATACTCCCATACGTATTTTGCTCTTGAAAAATGGTCGGTTTATGCGAAACAAGCAATCACAGACAAGAAATTAACCCTTAAATGAAACAATAATAATGATATGATAGCGATCTTGAAACTTAGGGATAAAATATTTCTTAATAAATTTTCGCCTGTATGAGATATTTTCATCCAGAAAAGCAGGTACCTTCTCGTGCGAATTATTCGGTTATTGAGCCAAATATTTCGTTGCTGTTGTGACGTGTGGTGTCTGACACACGTTGGATTAAATATTATTTTAATATATTCAACTCAATGAATGTTTTAAAACCGAGTATCATCAGCAACAGAAGCATTCTCACGGGTGTTACAAGCGTCCGACTTCCGAAAGGAAGAAGTCACTGTTTTAGGGCATTGTCAATGACAATGCCAACACAATCTTAGTTATACAAAACCGTGAGAACGCTTCTAAACATTTCAGAGGCGGAAGCGTCTCTGTAGTCCTTACGCCCACGACAGTCCTGTAAAATTGTTAGGTCGCGTCGAGAATGTCAGTGGGTTTTATGTTTTTTGGGTCGCTGATCACGAATCTGTCGGTTACTTTTCCGAACAATTGTCCCTTCAATTGTTATTAACAATTTTAATTGTTTAAAAGGCTTTATCTGGCAAACTATGACAGATATCGGAAAAATGTTCAAACAAGAGATGTTAGATATGTAAAAATACTCATTTTTTGTTCTATACCTTTTCCCCCTAACTATGATAGATACGGAGTTATCGGGGGTGGCAGCGGAGCAGGCGCCGCGTGAGTACTCGCGCAGGGTGTTGGCGTGATCCGATGCGTTTATCGGGACACTCGATGCAGATGGAGAAAAATAGTTGAAGTGGAAAATATTTGCAATCAAATTTCCCATATAATTGATTTTTTGACATTTTTTCCTACAACCAGTAGTTGATGAGATATTGACGCCATCATGCTGCGTGATCGGGCAAATTACCTAGAACGCTTTTGTTTACTGTTGTTTTACGGGTAAACAATTGGAGATACAGGAAAAAATGTCGTATGATAGTTGATCCCCCATAAAAAATACACAGTTTTGATATTTTGGTCTTTGGCCTAATCTCCATTATTTACGGAGATAGAGCCCGTTGTAATACTGATAGTCGTTGCCCCCCACGACAGTCCTATGTAAACTGTTAGTTCGCGTTGTCAATGTTAGTGGATTGTTTTTTGGGTCGCTGATCACGAATCCGTCGGTTGATTTTCCAAAAAATTGTCCCTTCAATTGTAATTAACAATTTTTAGTGTTTGAATGGCCTTATCTGGAAAACTATGACAGACATTGGGAAAATGTTCAGACAAAAAATGTTACCACGATTATGTAGAACAACTTTTATCTTATGTTGATTTCGCGTAAGTCGATTAGTTAAAAAGATATAAACAATTCAATAGTTTGCGCGCAGAGAGCGCGCGGCCCGGCCGCTAGTGACACAGGACTGTCGTGGGGGGCAACGACTATCAGTATTACAACGAGCTCTATCTCTGTAAATAATGGAGATTAGGCCAAAGACCAAAAAATCAAAAGTGTGTATTTTTTATGGGGGATCAACTATTATGCGACATTTTTTCCTGTATCTCCAATTGTTTACTCGTAAAACAACGGTACACAAAAGCGTTCTCGGTAATTTGCCCGATCACGCAGCATGATGGCGTCAATATCTCATCAANTTTAGTATATTTCTAACCTAGGGAGGGAAAATAAAGGATCCTCCGCCGCCAGTGCAATTACCGGCCGAGCCGAAGGCGAGGTTGGTAAGCACGCGGCTGAGGGTCCTCTATTTTACTTCCGGTGGTTAAAACGCGATTTTCCGTCTCGGCGTAGGCGCAAAGTCAGATTTCCCTCCCGCGAAGCGGGAGGGAAATGTAACTTTGCGCCCGCCGGGACGGAAACTATTATGTGACATTTTTTCCTGTATCTCCAATAGTTTACTCGTAAAACAACAGTAAACAAAAGCGTTCTAGGTAATTTGCCCGATCACGCAGCATGATGGCGTCAATATCTCATCAACTACTGGTTGTAGGAAAAAATGTCAAAAAATCAATTATATGNGTAAAACAACAGTAAACAAAAGCGTTCTAGGTAATTTGCCCGATCACGCAGCATGATGGCGTCAATATCTCATCAACTACTGGTTGTAGGAAAAAAATGTAAAAAAATCAATTATATGAGAAATTTGATTGCAAATATTTTTCATTTCAACAATTTTTCTCTATCTGCATCGAGTGTCTCGATAAACGCATCGGAACGCGCCAACACCCTGCGCGAGTACTCACGCGGCGCCCGCTCCGCTGCCACCCCCCGATAACTCCGTATCTATCATAGTTAGGGGGAAAAGGTGTAGAACAAAAAATGAGTATTTTTACATATCAAACATCTTTTGTTTGAACATTTTTCCGATATCTGTTATAGTTTGCCAGATAATAGTACATTAGAGTACAAGGGCACAAATTTCGTTTTCAACGAATGTGTAGTTTACAGGCCGAGCCGAAGGCGAGGTCTGTACACACATTCGTTGAAAACGAAATTTATTACCGAGTGCTCTATAATATTTTATGTCAAGTCGTGCAGAAGTCGAGCTTTGAGCAAGCTGCGCGAAGCGCAGCGTGCGATAAACTCGACTTATTGCACGGCGCGACATAAAGCCTTTTAAACAATTAAAATTGTTAATAACAATTGAAGGGACAATTTTTCGGAAAAGTAACCGACAGATTCGTGATCAGTGACCCAAAAAACATAAAACCCACTGACATCCTCGACGCGACCTAACAATTTTACACGACTGTCGTGGGCGTAAGGACTACTATGAGGCCCCTCGGTAAGACAGAGTACGGGAGGAGTTGTCTTGACTTGAACGGATGTCCACTCCTCGCCAAAAATCTTAGTACCGCGCGCGATACTGAACCCATTATCAGTTTGATTTTATATTCAATTATTTTTCTCAGTTAATTATATTAATCTTATTTTAACTGATGTTCGGTTATTGAGAAGAAACTCTTATCAATCCTGCCCTAATCATCCCTAAATGGGCAAACTCCCCGGGAGCTCGTACCGAGACTAGTTGGCATAGTCTTCATGTCGAAAGGCGACTTGATCAAGGGAGGACGAAAACCTCCCACGTCACATTGTCGAAAGCAGAACAATTATTCATGTTTAAGATTTTCAAATTCAAATCAAACAATTTCTTTTTTGGCAATTTTCAACTAGCGATTTTGTTGGCCCAAACAAGACTTGATTGAAAACGTGTTTGTTTTTCTCTCAGTGTGGAGTGTCAGAACCGTTTGAAATGAATGTGAGGACATTTTTAATTACAGCATTATCTCACTAACGTGTGATTTTAAAGGGAAATTTCAAGGCATTTCTTGTAGCTGATGGAGTTTGTGACAGCAAGACTCCTTTATGATTCTCTCATTCACGACTGAGATAATGAATGATTAGGTGAGTTCCATAAATTCTCTCACTTCAGTGCTGTACATTCAGCCAAATCCGATAGTGTATTCCCTTTCATCCTTCAACATGTCTCAGAATATTGCACTTTTAGCTTCAGTGAGTCCTAAATTCACTGAAGAAACCCTCGAATCTATCTTTCAAAAAGCCACTGGTGCAAAATTTGCGAAAGTAACTGATTGGGAATTCGCACCTGGAGCAGAGGAAGGTGGGAACTATCTATCGATTGTTTATCGAGTCACTGTCAGTGGTATTGTCAATGAGAGACTCATTCAAATTTCGATAATCATGAAAGCTCTGCCTCACAACCAATGCTACAGGAAAACATTCAGAAGTTTGGATTTCTTCAAGAATTAAATAACTTTTTACAGCCAGGTCAGTATCCTTCATTTGTTGTTGAATAAACATTTATTGAATAAACATAACCTCAGTGTGGAGATTTATCGATTAATTCGATTGTACAAAAAGGTGTAAGAATCAATTAATTCTGTTTAAGAAGAAATCACTTTTTCCGGAATAATAAGATGGACAAATTTTCATTAAATCAGCAACATAAACGATTCTTATGGCTTTGAGATGTTTCCGGCGAGAACTAATCTCAAGGAGGAATTAAATATGCGATTTTGGTTCCTGTGAATCAATATCTACGAATCTAACAAGGAAAGGTCCCTAGATGTACCTCACCGATTTTCTTCATTTTGACATGTTATTCTACATGAAAAATGATTGACCACGTATTTTTTTTACGTGCTAATTCGGTCAGAGGACAAAAAATGGCGTTTTTGAAGTTCATTCCAAACAATAATTTTTTGCGTTTTCTCGAAAACTACGCAATATTTTGTCAGTTTTTTTTCTGCATTCAATTACTAATTCGGAGGGGCTTTTATAGATATAGGGTTCGTTTACACGGCTTGGCTTTTTGAATGATTTATTGAATAAAAATAGGTTTTTTTATACATCTTTTCAATGTAAAAACTCTCAATTTGGCTGAATCTCATTGAAAATTGGTGCCTTTGATAAAAAATCGAAGAACTAAATCGACGTATTTCAGGGTTTCCGCCAGACCACCTTTTCAGGGGGTAAACCACCCCTTGGTTTAACGTGGTCAACTCAAAATTTTACAAACTTGCATGATAATTCTACATAAAATATTCAAAATGTTATTATCTAATCATTACTCATGATGTTTTAACCATTATCTAAGCAAAGTGCCTATATCGAAAATTCTACTAGGTTAATTTTTTTCATTCTTCATATAGTATCACTCGATGCAAACAATCAGGAAATGAAATTAATATATTATTGCTTTCAAAGTTTGAATTTCGTCGTTAAGGTCATCCTCAAATATTGTAATCCTCCGTGCGGTGTGTCTTCATCGGTCGGCGACCTCTGGTCGATTTGAATTCACTGTTCATGTTTATGCAAGCATTTCGAATATTGAGAATGCATGAGAAAAGAAAGAATCGAGTTCCAATGCGTGAGTTTGTTTTTTATTGATTTTTTTTCCAATTCCCATATTATTAATATAACGCAAGAAAATTTATTCTAATGACTGACATATTGATCCCAACCGATAGGGCCGCAAAAATAAAGTTATTTTTAAAAACACTATCGATACACATACTGGCTATAAGTAGTCTTACGATAACAAAATACATTGCCGAGTTTTCGTGCCTATCGGAACGAGCTAAATCGAAGTGGATTCTCATCATCACGAATACTATTGTGGCGTAGTGCAGTCAATAGGGAAGAATATATCATTTGCCTGGTAAGTTCAGTTTATGATACATGTGGAACTTATAAGGCAAAACGCAGCCAATTGGAACGGCGGTGATAAACAAGAAAAAAGGGGTAAAATGGCATCATCAAGCATTTATTTGAGCATTTTCACCGCGTCATTATGTCATTAGGATTCAAATCTAGCCACGGCAACCTGTGATATGATAAAGGGATCGGAAGATCTTTTAAGATACATCGACAATCATCAGATAACGCCAGCTAGGGTTATTGAATGGAAAATATATATAATAATAATTTCAGATCATTCTTGTATGAAAAAGATGGGAACCAATCCCCTTAACGTTCTTCAATTGTTGTTGGTGACCTTCCAACAATTGCCATTGGAAAACACTCTAGTAACACAACAAGAGATAGAATATGAAAAGCAAGACTGGAACAAATTCTACTCGGTGCCATGAATGAATCCAATTGTGTAAACATGGTTAAAGAAGAACACTTGCATTCCAGGAGCTTTATAAGGATGTATCAATGGAAATAGAGGATAATGACAAAATATGGGATTTTGATGATAATGACGATCAATGTTCAATTGATTCAGAAGGATTGACTCATGATTATAAAGCAAAAGCCGTAGAATTCTGGAGGAGCGGACATTCGAAAAATCTTGCATTAAAAACGGTTCAAAATCGATTTCGCAAAGTCAAATCAGTAAGCCAATTGAAGCGTTGGGCTCATACGCTCAATAAGGGAGGAACTTACAGAGAAAAAATAGACCGCATTTTCCAGTTCGTTCTAACAAAATTTTAAAACTCCGTTGAAGCGAGACACATTATACATGATATCGATTTGCAAAGATGGGCTTTACAAGCCCAGAAAGATATTGGTCATGAGGATATTCGTTTCAAAGCATCCTCACATTTTGTAAAAAATCATGAAGCATTTCTTCGGTGACTATCGTTACTGCACACATTATGAACCTTAATACGTATCAAGTAAGATGAAAACTGAAAAAAATATAGCGTGTAAGAATTTCCAGTGACTAATAAATTTAAAATGTTACTTCAGGGAAATTCTTGATTCTTCAATGACTATCAAATAAATTTTTGGGAAACGAGACAACAACTTGAATCTGATCAACATCTCTTTCCTGAGAATCATCAACGGAGGGCTATATACATTGGACTAGGGCCACCCTCATTTTGATAAAACTATATTTGGACTTATCATGATTAACAGAAAGTTGAAAAAAATTATATAGACTTTTACATGAAGCAAAAATTACGTGCTTGGTTCGTTCGGACCAAGTTTCGTATACACCGAGTTCGAGACTGTTAGATGAAACTTCATCATTTTTGTTCCTATACTGATTTCCCAATTTATAATAATTTTTAATCAATTTTTAATTTTTCAATACTTTTTGATAAATGGAAAATGCCACAAAAAATGAAAAAATACTTCCTTCGTAGATTTCTATCATGATGAACAAATAGAGCATATTATTCAGACCATTTTATGCAGAATGATCATGCGTTTGCAGAAATTTGAGTTAACAGGATTAAACCATTCCCAGGGGTTGTTTACCCCCCTGAAGGGGTAGTTTGGCGGAAACCCCGAAGCATGTCGATTTATTTTTTCGATTTTTTATCAAAGGCACCAATTTTCAATGAGATTCAGACAAATTGAGAGTTTTTACACTGAAAAGATGTATGAAAAAACCTATTTTTGTTCAATAAATCATTCAAAAGCCAAGCCGTGTAAACGAACCCTATATTTATAAAAGCCCCTCCGAATAAGTAATTGAATGCAGAAAAAAAACTGACAAAATATTGCGTAGTTTTCGAGAAATCGCGAAAAATTATTTTTTGGAGTGAACTTCAAACGCCATTTTCTGCCCTCTATGACCGAATCAACACGTAAAAAACTAAGTGGTCAATCATTTTTCATGTAGAATAACATATGTCAAACTGAAGAAAATCGGTGAGGTACACCTGGGGACCTTTCCTTGTAAGTGAAATTTTTATCATATCCATTTTTGTGTAAAGCTTCATAGCTTCAATAAAGGTCCTCATATTCATTTCAAGATTTTTTCAGAAATCTGATTCGAAAATGCAATTAATCTTGTGTTTTTGTTTTTGTTTGCATATTTTTTAACATAACCTGGTCACAATTAATGGATTAAAAATTCAAGATACACTACACATTTTTTAATTTACAATAGTTTTAATAATATCATAGATTGTTATTGATTTAAAAAAAATTCAATTGAAGCTTTTTGATACAGAATATCTTAATGCCCTGATGAAGAACACTTTGGTTTTCGAAACGTTGGCAAATGAGGAAGAAATGGACGCCCCTTTTTCCATGGTAATGGAAAATACCATGGAAGAATGGATGGATTGGGAGCAATTTTTCTTTGCTCATTTATTTTCCCCTCCTCCCATTGTTTTAAGGTGATGTCATTTGTGAGTAAGACGTGCAATTGTTTATTGAAAAAATGATCAATTTCAAAGTTATTTCAATAGTAAAACAGGAAATCTAAAGCTACTGTAGATTTCAAATTTGTAAAATGTAAAATTTAATAGAGTTGAAGTTTATTTGTTAATACCTCTTCAAACTCTAATTTTTCTCTATAAAAAATATCCACACGATTCTGTTGAAAAATGCACTTTGAAAATTTTTTTGACTTTTCGAATAGGATCAACTTTTTCGGCTGTCCATTTTATCCCACTCTTGAATAATTTTTCGGTTGCGGGCTTTGCCCAACAGCAATTTTTAAAAATAGGATTATTGAACATTTTTGAAGTGTCTATTTTAGTCCATTCAATATGGATTTATCAGGCGTCCATATGACCCCGCCTTCCCCTATATTTTTGAATTCAGAACAAATACTGGACATGACTGCGGAAAAACTCTCATAATAACTTTTAATTCCCTCTTTTTCCGGAATATCAAGATTTTCCTAATGATTTGAGTGATTCAATTTTTGTTTTTAGGTAATCCCCGCGTTCGAGAACTTCCTGCAATCGAAAGGAGCATGTGATCTTCTCAATGTTCCCAAGTGTCTGAAGTATCTCCACGACGGGGAAAATGACTTTCTGGTATTGGAAGACGTCACAACTAAAGGATTTACACATGCTGTCGGAAAACAAGATATTTGGACGGTGGAAAATATTAAAATAATTTTGAAAGCCTTAGCTCAATTTCATGGCATCGCTCTAGCTCTTCACCATCAAAATCCTTCTTAGTTTTTTAATGCTACTGAAGATCTAGAAGAAATGATATTCTCTGAAGAACAGTAGCAATGGTACAGGAATCATTACGTAAGTTGTTTCCTGATGTTTATTCTTCTCAGAATGTAATAAGGAAAATCAATTCAGTAGTTACGTGATAGATGGAAAACAAACATCTCTGAAACTAATGAGTTTAACAGAAAAAGTCGAAGACCCTTCTTTGTAATTGAAAAAAGTACTGACACAGTATGTCTTTTGATATTACCATCCGAAGGTGATAATAATTACAATGACAATTCCTAATTAATATGAGCATTTTTACGAGACAATATAGCAAGATTTTTGTAAGCCTTTTCAAGAGCTGACAATGGGTTACACTCAGATAAAGAATTTATTTAAGTAAACTTTACTCAAATCAAATAAATGGGCTCGTTCAATGAGCTTTTATTCTAATTCAAACATTTTTTTGTGTTTTTATTCACATCAAATAAATAATTTTTGTTTACTCGTAAACGAAAAGTAAACGAAAAAGGCACAGTTCGACCACTTGCTGAACGTAACATCATTGTTAAAAAATATTTTTCGACAAATGTGAGACGGCAATTTTCAAATCGTGTGATTGGCAGCTCTCGGCTTCGCCTCGGCCCGCCAACTTCACACTCGTGCTGTAAACCATTGTTAGGTTGATGCCACAATGGACGCCCCGGGAAACTTACCCAAATTCAACTGTTGTTCGATTAGGGTGATACCACAATGGACGCATCGTGAAACCTTCTCAATGCGTAAAACAATCGTTCAACTGTTTTGCGATTATTTTTGACGACTGCAAGCGTTGCGTATGTCTTGCGTTGCCTTCATTGAAGCAGCACCCTAAGCGTCCTGCCCTGAATGAATTGTTCGCGTGATTGCGCATTCTTGTCACTAAAATTTTTCCAAGTTTTTCTTGTACCAAGCGAGAAAAAAATTGTGGCAAGAATTTTTATGCTTTTAATAATTCGTTGTTCCTCAGTGCACACTCGTCAAAAACGTAATTTACCAACTCGTCAGGTAATAGACCTTTTCATCCTGAGAGTCACTAGACTTTCGGACACTTTTTTCCCATGTTAATTCCCCTGGCATTTCCGACACTTTTACCGAATTTACATATAAATCATCATCTTTGAAGGCTCAAATGTACATTATCTTAAATGTCAATATTTATCAGAATTTATTATTATTTCCCTGGAGATTTTTAAGTTTCATGAAAGGAATAAATATTTACCCTAGATTTCCAGAATGAAAACGTCGATAGTATTTTTCGTTACTGTCAACTATCTTTTGTTGTGCTTCGATTGACCAATCACGAAAATACCGCCGGGCATACCGTTGTGAGCGTGTGTTCAGAATCGCTGCCGGGCGATTTACACACGCGGACCACGTGTGCAAAGTGCCAATTTACAGCACGGTGTGGGACAATGGTATTGAGTCTGTACGCTGTACCTGATCCTGTCTCAATTTAAAGACCTGTTCCATATGATTAGAAGATTTTCATTGACATAAATAGTTTATTCATTTCCACCAAACGTTGTTGAAATCAGTGGAAAAATTCAAAGTAAAGAATTTTATTCTGTTCAAACACATTATTCTCCCGATTATACCAGAATCGATTATTACTGATTGTAAAATCACATTATATAGAACATTTAAATTAATTAGTTGATGATCCGCAGCAGGGAAAATGTTAACGAGAAATTGCAAAGAGCATGAGTTCGTCCGTTTTGATAACTATGAAATAATTGACAATTCAATTAAGGACTTCCTCTACAGAACTAAAACGACTTTAATAACTGTTGTTTGTTTCCTGCAGACAAACATGAATACAACTGTTAAAGCAGCAATGACGCAACAATATCCAGGAACTCCAGAGGAAAAAAGATTCAATGCCATAACACCCGATCAACTTTTCAGGAGATGCGCTAATTGTTGCGAGGCTAAGAAAGATTCTCCAATTGTCGTGAATCATGGAGACGCCTGGGCCTTCAACTTCATGACTCGAACATTAGATTCTCGGGAGGGTGAAGCCGTCATTTTCGATTTCCAATTGGCCCGCCTAACAAGTCCCGTTCTCGATATTTCCTATTTTCTTTATACGTGCACTGATAAAGACACTCGAGACAAATACTTCTATGAACTTCTGGAATACTATCATTCGGAGCTTGGGAATATTGTCTCGCGACTCGGATCAAGCATCGCAGATATTTATCCAGAAAATTATTTTATGAAAGACGTAAAGATGAATTGTTTTTTTTAGTTAGGAGATAAGTCTAAAAATTCACGTAATGATTGTCTTACGATTATGTTGAAAAAATGGAGTGATCCAAAGAAACATATTAGGAGACAAACTTTTTTAGCTCGGCTAACTGAAAACTCATATTCACCAGAAACGTTTCTTTCGGTCTGTAACAAAAATTACTATTTCATCACGCTGTGCGAAAAAGTAACTTTTTAAGCACACTTTGCGTGCCTAAAATGTTCCTTTTTCACACATTGTGATGAAAAATATCGTTCGATACTCGTGGGAAAAGTGTTTTTTGGCTCGTGGGAGGTTTATATCACTCGCCTTTGGCTCGTGCTATAAAACTCTTTTCCGCGCTCGTTACGAAATATACTATTTCATCACGCCGTGCGAAAAAATAACTTTTCAGGCACGCTTCGCTTCACCAGACATTATGATGAAAAATATCGTTCGATACTCATGGGAAAAGCGTTTTTTGGCTCGTGGGATTATATCACTCGCCTCCGGCTGGTGCGATAAACCTCCCACGAGCCGAAAAACACTTTTCCGCACTCATATCGAAATATACTATTTTGACACTGTTGCTACGTTCACCTCGTGGCGAAATAAGCCTTTTCGTTCACAAATAAACGAAAAGACTTTTCGTTTACTTTTCGTTTACAAATAAACGAAAACTCACTTTTCGACACGAGGTGAATAGGTGATAGGTGTATTACCTATTTTTTGTGGTACCTGCCGAGTTCACTAATCGGAACGGTAGTGGGGGTAATGTGGTGAAAGGGGAATTTTCAGCTCATGTAATTGGCAGCTCTCGGTGTCGCCTCGGACCGCCAACTTCACTCTCGTGAAAATTCCATCTCACTCGTATCCAAATATACTATTCTAGTATTTCAGTTTTTCTGTTTTCATCCTCGGGCAAATTTCCATTTCTCCCACTTGCCAGCCCTTCTGAATATTAAGCTAGTATCTCTCGCTTCTCAATTTTATGACCTATTTCGTGCCATGAATTCTACATGTCACATTCTGTTTAAATACCAGTAATAATGTCAAACTACTGACAATTTCAACTATTACCGAAATTTTGCTATGCGCTACAGGAATACTTCTGGTATTTCACCCGAAAAAATTACTGTATTTTGCAACAAAAGTTTCGGTGCTGGCCCCTAAATTTTTTTGATCAAAAAATCGTGGTAATTTGATTTTCATTTAGGTTGACTACAATAACTTTTCTCTAATTTTGAAAGTTTATTAAATAATGAATCTACGGGAGGGTCGGGCAGAATGTGACGTATTGAGATCTTTTCCAATTGTGAATATCTTCATTTATAAGTGAAGATATTGACAATTAGATCACGAAATGTTCCATTTTGCCTGACTGTCCCCTATGAATAAATGGTACATGGTGTTATCTTTGAATCCCTCCATTTCCGTTATTCGCAAGCTAATCCTACGTCATTATTGACTTATCTCGTTTTACCACTCCATAACTCAATTCATGATTAAATGATTGAATTAACAGGTGAAAGAGCAATTTGTCCTTGGTGTGGCCTTCGCGGTGGATATTTTGCCTATGATGTTAACCACCGAAGATGGATTATCTAATATCGAAAGCTTCACGAATGATGAAGGAGTTAACATTTCTTTGATGTGGAAATTGGATGCAGATTTGCCTCCAGAAAGCAATAAACGCATTGCGGACGCAATTGTTCATGTTATTCAACAGGGTTTTCTTTGAGACTATATACATGTGATATAATATCTGCGGATTGATAATGGAATCGTCTACCAAGTGATTAGAAAATAATGGATAAGGCTGATAACTGTTTGAAAAAAAGGAAGCGAGAGATGTGAAAAAGTACGAGCTGAATATCTGTGAAACGAGTAGCTTCAGAAGAAATGAAACATTATTATTTGCATACGATAAAATTATCTACAAAGAACGTCGATCATCACTGGAACTGTTTCAAAATCAAATTAACGCTTCGTTACTCGCGTGAAACTGCCCAGCGTGGTTACTCGCATCGTGGCGCCGTGCCGTAATATAAGTAAGAAACGAAATAGTCGTTTTTGAGAGACCTGGCTACCCTGGAAATTCTCTACTATAAAATAGCCAATTCTGGAATTACTCTGAACTTGTTATATTAGAACTAAATAACGTGGCAGTAAAAAGTGTGGTAACATGTCAAAATATGCAAGTAATAAATGTTTTATGGAAATAATTAATTAGGAAAAATGCATCTGATGTATTTTTTGATGAACGTCACATTAGTGATAGAAGAGTTGTCTTATCTATTGGAGCTAACAAGACAAAAGCCGATAGATAAGACAACATCACTCAACTAATGTTTACTTGAGGTTGAACGATGCAATAATTACACGTGACTGATAAATGTCCCTTCCCCTATGTACATGAGTAATTTTTTTAATACCTCCAAACACACTATAAGTGCGATTACGCAAGAAGAGTGGAATTAGTTGTTGAAGGATTCTTGGTAAGTGCAGTTAACGTTTTCGATGACATTTTGACTGATTGAATTGCGCGCGTAACGCAGGAACAATAAACAAAACGCTGACAATGAACGCTGAACAATGTTTTGTGCTGGAATACGACAATTTAAAAATCATCATTCTGACTACATTTCATTTACAATTGTAAAATTTAAATTTGCGGAATTAAAAGAAAAAGGAATGCTATAATCGTACATTTTTTCATCAGATTGAAAAAAAAATTCTGGCGAAAGCGAGGGCTACAATCACATGAGCTGGAAATGAGGGGCTGCTCACTCACAAAATCACGGCGCCACTCTGGCATTAAATCATTTCGAAATCACGTGAAATCACTGAAATCAAGTGATTTCAGCTCTCCGAAATCATTTTCGAAATCATCTCCGAAATCCCATTAAATCGTCTGAACTCAATGAAATCACCGGAGTCAGTAACGCACTGGCGTAGTGCGAACCGTACAAATAATTCATGATTTTGAAATTGACACGCCTACCAACGATGATAATAAACTGCCGTACTTACTGCCATAGTAAAATGTTAAAATGGCCCGCTTTTCATCGTCATTAGCTCAAGATTGGCGGAGTGGAATCAAATAAATTCGTTATTATTTCCCAATTATTATTGTCAGTTTTGATTTTCATAATTTGACACAACCCGTTTTGCCCCACCTTTATTATTTGTTTACTTTATTTTTTTGAAATCACTGAGTTCGAATTAATTAAATCATTCGAAATCATGAAATCACTCGAAATCGACTTCATTTCAAAATCATGGTGTCACTCAATTATGGAGTGAGTAGCCCCTCAGCTAGAAATAGTACGTGACATGCCCGAGCCTTGGAAAACAGATCACCATCCCCCACGTACTTGCCATCCTCACCTCCGGCTCGGAAGGCAATCTTGCACGTCGGGGAGGGTGATCTATTTTCCTAGGCTTGAGTATGTAATGTACTATTTCTATCATAACGGCCGTAACGCTGCCTTACGGACTTACGGTATACTAAATTTTGCCAACTAAGTAACCTCGATTTCAGTAGTGGGGAGCACGAGCATAAGTGAGGATTTGGGCGGAGTGGGGGTATACGGCCGAGGTTACTCCTTTGGCAAGAAGCACTTTATGATTGTGTACTACAGCTGTTTTCATTATTACATTAGGTTCTAGTTCAAATAAGACAACTGTCGGAATAATCGGAGCAAAATCGAAATGGGTAAAGATGTTGAATTATTGAATGGAGTTAGTAAATTATTCACTGAGAGTCTCCTGGAGGAAGTGTTGGCAAAGAAATGGGGGGAGAAGGATGTCAAGGTGACAGGATGGGACTTTGGCGAGGCATCCGCGAAGGGGGATAGCTATCTGTCAGAAGTGGACCGGGTGACTATCGAAGGAAACGTTAAAGGGAAGACTACCCAACTCAAGGTCGTTGTTAAATCCTTGCCAGGAAATTTGGGGAGGAGAGAGACGTATAGGAGCACTGTGTTCTTTAGAAATGAGATCCTTTTTTACACCCAGGTAAAATTACTTGATCAATCAATCTACAATACTGATTTGTCAAAATAAGTTCCGAGAACTTATTATCGGAAGAATGAGTGGATTAAGGGTGCCAAGTGAAAATGAAATGTTTAATAAATCAACAGAAATTCAATTTTTTTCCTGTAATAGCGAGAAATATTTAAAAAATTTAGATGACAATCTTGACCTTTCAACCGGTATTAATTATTGAGAATTTAAATAAACAAAATTTGAAGATCCAGCATTGGCTCTTATGAGGTTATGCACTAAAATAACAGATTGGCCAATTTAGAGATTCATGAAAAATCCCAGAAAATATGGAAAAAATGTAAAAAAAAAGCTGAAAAAATCCGCTCGTAGCATAATACATGATATGCGACAACAGCGCACACAGCTGTCATACTCCGCTTGTACGCCCCCCGTCAACATAACCCTACCTGTCACTCACGATGGATGTTTTTTCAAAGTGAATTTTAGGATTTCAAACGTAATTATCAATCAATGAGACTCGAATGGTGTTTATAATTGAATTTCAAACGAATTGTGCGAAAGAACATTGGTCTCAGCATCTACTCATCTCGGAAAATCATTTCAATGGATCTTGTTATGGCTAACCAAATGTCCAACAAAATGTGTTTCTCGACATTTCCCTTTTAAAAAATTCATTAGATTGAATCTGGATATATTAATGAGTAGTGGAGCGCCGTCCGTGGAAAATGAAAGGTTCTTCCTTCAATTCTTCCTTCGGTTTTCTTGCTTCTGATTTTATTGCACTTTCTTTCAGTAATTTTTGTTGCTCATGATAATTTTTTACACCCTCTCGAGACCTGGTTTCACGAATTTTACATTTTTGGGAGATACATTCACTGTTAACTGTCCCCTTTTGTCACGCAATAAATTTTTATTTTTGTCTGAGGCCATAATGGCTTGTTCACAGGCATGTATAACTTCCAACACACGTTTGAATATCAACAAACCCTCGCGCCTCTACAGCTCTGACAGCAGCAGTGTTGCCACGATTTCCACCGGATATCACCATTTAGTCAATAAAACAAATATTTTTTGGTCGAAAAAATAAAAAGAAAATTTTACATATATTACGTCCCAACTCAATTTGAATATAAATTCGCGAGATGAATTAATTAAGTGAACACAATTTATTATGCAAGGTTTTTAAAAAAAATGATCAATTTAGTTGTGCACTTGACCCACTTGGCATCCTTAAAGCGAAAGCATTAGAAGTTTTTTCGAGTAGATCAAAAAATTTTAGTTTTGAGGCTTTCGCGGCCATGATTAATGAAATCTTTGGCTTCCGGATGGATGCCGCGTTTGGATTCAGCGTTGCGCCGACATTTCGCAAACATTGCAGTCTGCATCTTCAGGGCTGTGAGCTCCGATGTCTAGGGATAGTCCTTATATGCCTTCCCTTGTGGTGGTGGGGGAAGGGGGGGGGTGGTCAGCCAATCATATTTTTAATTGATCAGCTGGTCAATTAAAAATATATGATTGGCTGACCACCCCCCCCCCCTTCCCCTTCCCCCACCACCACAAGGGAAGGCATATA